AGTTTCATACTAGTATTCAACCCCAAATATATCGAATGAGAAACTTTTCTTTATAAAAGAAAATAGTATGTAATTTTTACGCATTTGAATGGATGTTGATATGTACATATGATTAAGATACATACCGAATTCTAATAAATAAATATTCATTATAAAAAGAAATACGTTTTCTCGTGATTGGTTTGGTCGTATATAGTCAATAGAGAGTCAACTACGTAAATTTCAAAAGAGAGGTCGGGTTGTTTATTCCGTTTTTTTCTTTTTAAGGAAGAAACTAATGTGAGTGAGATAAATATCACTGCAAGCAAAGTAATGTATTTTTCAATTAGTGTTAAAGAAATATTTATAGGAAATCATAAGATGTAATGTCATTTTTAGCTCCCATTTCTATATTTTCTTGCTTTGGAGTGAGTATTAGACTATTAGTTAGTCCCTGTTTAGTCATTTTTGCTTAGAGTCAAAGCTATATTAAACAACTCTCTTAACAATAATAACATAGCCATAGTTTAGAATTTAACAAATCTTTAATCATTAACATTATTTTATCGAGATATCGTATATTAAAGTAATAGTGATATGGTTATAATGATGAATCGGTGATCATGCTCTTCTTCAAACAATAAAAATGATAGGCTAACAACAAAATTATCAGCAATATCATTGTTTTTAATCAAATAAATGGCAATGATATGAACTAGATTATAGACTAATTATGAAATGATTATATGAGCCTCCACAATGGACTACTCGCAGAGCCTTCTCAAACTATTGATATGCCATGTTCAATTTTTTTTATTGAACATATATTTAATATAGTAAAATAGTTTTTTGAAAAAAAAAATATAACATATATAGTCAGAACGTTCATGTAGTTCGACTGCTCCATTCGCAATCACTAAAAAGTTGTCCTAGCTAGTTGTGTTTATAATTTTTCTAAATATATACAATACAATAATCTCACCCAATGTAAGTGTTTTGAAGGTTTAATACTTTAATTCATGTAGTGATATTATTGTATAAGATGTAATCCTATATTAGCTTTATCAAAGGGAATAGAATATAATCCTATAATAATCAATTTTATGTTTCCGAAAAATACTTAACATTAATCCATCCGCAAGCAGGATACGACACACTCCCAAAACTCCGGATTGTGTTCATCTTGTATACGTTAACGAGGGAGATTGCATTTTATCAAAATATATAACTAAAAGCTAAAAGTGGATTTGTTCTATAAATCTTCTAGTTACATAAAATAAATATGTTGGTTAAACAACCAAACCAAAATGTTGAAGAAGGTGTAGGGAAGACATCTCTTGGGTTGTTATTATTAATTGGGAAAAAAAGGAAAAGGCCTTTAAGGACAATCTCTCTCTCACAAACAAAACACTCTCTAACCACTTTGACAACTTCATTACACTAAAAAAGCAATAGCATGAGTGTAATGATTTTCTCTTTATTGGCATTAAGTTCTCATATGTTGGTTACATAATACTGCACAAGTTTTTTAGTGTTACGATTACAAAACAATGGTAAGAAATGGGATATATGATTATAAAATAGATATACCATTGAATTGTTTTCCGTTCTTCAACTATATAAAACAGTTGAAAATACTCTAAAATCTCAATCATTAAAATTTAACTTATATACTCTTTAACAAAATGATATAACACAAATGCAGATTAGACGGTTCGTTAGATGTCATTGTAGTCTTTGTAGAGATGATAGAATTTTTAGATTCTAGTTGAAATTAAAAGAAAAGAAGATATTTTTTTATAAATTCTAACGTTAGGTTAGGTCTAATATATAACTACACGCATGTATTGTAGTAGGTTTTTTTTATTAGTAAGATTGTAAGATCCATATCCATTACTATATAAGGGTCCCTTTTTTATATAACATTTATGGATTAATAATTGTTTAGTAGCCAAATTTCTTAGATCATGTGACTTGAAGCATACTTCATAGATTATTGACTAATCATTTTTTTTTTATCAGTTATGTATTAGTTAGCCAACTTTGAAAGTAATTAAAATATTAAAAAACCTTTATTGAAAATTAAGTACTAAAGTAATATTAATAATTTAATATTGTCACCTTTCTACTTTCCAGACTTAGAACATCCTTTCCACTTAATCCCAACACGTTCTCCTTCAAAAGTTTTTTTTTCTTACATTATCCCATATATTATAAATTCCTCATTTTCTATTTCTCTAAGTATAGTTTTGTTTGGATTATAAATGTATGATAAACTTATATTTGTGGCTCGCAAGTAAAATACATTTCAAATAGTCTTAAACAATGTAATGGAGAAATATAAATTTTAGTTAATCCCCAAATAGAATATTCTCTATATAGCATAGTTCTTGATGTATTCGATTATTTGAAATTTGGGTTTTGCACAAAACATGATACACATGGAGAGTTGGTGTAAAATATTAAAAAATTGTTTACCATATTTAAGCAATTGTTTATTATTATTTTATAATAATCTGGTTATGCGTACCATTGAATCAAACCAAGATGTGATTTAAGTACTTGATTTTTTTTTTTNTTCCCAAGTTTCTTAGAGGTAACGTTTCACAAATTGCACGAAAAAGTACGAAAGGCAGAAAACTTGAACTAAGGCACTAACTGGTGTAAGAGGAATAGCAGAATGTTGAATAATTTAGCAGAATTTTTTCAGCTGAAAAAAAGAGAAACACTAAAAACAAAAAATGCAGAATTGATATATATATTAATATTATAAGTTGAGAGTTTAGCTATTATATCACACTATACATTAGCTTTTATATTTATATGACATATACGTCTAGCGATATATATATATATATATAAGAATAAGAAATCATATGTGCTATATGCGGGATAAAATTATTATTAATAGGAGAATTATTATATAAAATCTAGAATTCGTTTATGAATATTTAAATTTATTATTATTTACAATAGAAATGTAGTCCATTTTAACAATAATTTTTAAAAACACTTTTTCAATTTTTAATAAGCATAAAACAATCATATATATTATAAAAACAATCATAATTATAAAAAATTATGTCCAAAATAAGTAATGTTTTCGTAATTTCATGTACTATCAATTTTTTTAATAGTTTTTGATTATTTGAATATTTTTATATTGATTTTTCCAAACCCAAAAATATCACGTGGACTTTAAATTCATCATTTTTTTATGAATTACAAATCTTTTTGTGAAATTATGTTGTTATTTATGAAAGATAAAATTATTAAATAATTAGTTTATCTAATTATTTGTTTGAGACATAATAATTTTAGATTAATATATTTATAAGTTTAATTAACTTATTTATTTTAAAAAATTCAGCCAAATTCAGCTGTTACCATTTGAATTTTCATTTATTCCGCTGGATTCTGCAAAAAGTTACCACTAATTCAGGTAGATTTTGCAATTCAGCTAACACTATTTACAAAGAAAGAAATCCGAGCACGAACAAATTAATCTTTTATTACCGGTATAAATGTATGTGTTTATATTGATTTATACTTTATACCAGAGAGAATGCCACGGACTGACAACTAATAGGCAATCTAGAATAATATCTTGATCAGTTTCAAGAGTTTTTTTTTTTCTGTCGTTTCTCTATTCCAAACAACCAAAAGTAACATCGAACATGACCAAAAATATTGTAATCTCAAAAACATAGCAAATACCCACTTACCCAGAGGCAAAGTAAAAAAGCATTTGTATTGTTTTTCGTACGACCCCATTGGGAATCTTGTTGGTTGCATATTTCTTTTGTCAAGTCGTTCATTGTTATACAACGTTGCATGCAATAGAGGGTAAGAAATAACGTTCTTAGACTTCTATAATA